TAAGACAGTTGAATTAAGCTAGGAAGAACCATACCGTAGACCAACTATTCCTTTCCTTAGAACGTCTTAAACTAGTGGACTTGTAGCATCAGTCGCTCTGTTGAGCCACACATGTTTCAAGGTGTTCCTTCACGGCAAGGTGTCAAATAATGCAGATGGGAGGCAACCGTATGGAGATACCTGCCCTTCTCACTCAGAGGCATTATAGCTCTTTTATAAGTGGAAAATAAATGGAAGAATAGCACTAAAAATGCAACGAGGAGGTCCTTGTGTGGATGACAGAAAGCGCCAAACATTTGCAAACCTGAACATGGTAAAACACCCGCATACATGCTAGTTAATACATCGTCTAGTAACAAACAACTTCCAATTTACACGAGTTAGGAAATGCTGTTGATTCTTCAACATTTACAGCAGGATCCAGGAATTTATTCGCGGGATGTTACCCGTTATAAAAATTAGGGATGCTTTCGGTACAAATTACTGCGAATTCCCATCCATACCTGGCTAAGTGCGTTCATTTGCATCCCTAACTATGCATCACCTTCTCCTTTAAATGTTATTAACTGTTCTCCACTTTTGAAGTCCAACTTTGTTGCAAGTTGCGGAACATGATTGATGTGATTCCAGGCCGTCGGTTCTAAGAAGACAAATGGACCATAGCGGCACTGTTAACTTGTCTTTGCTCAGTGAATGCAGTATTCAAAGACTGTGAGACTCCTGTGTTACTCCTTTAGACCATGATTGCGGCTATTCAAGAGGACAACGGGTACTAAACACTACCCGTCACCACAAAATGAGAAGCCCGAGCATTCCCTGTTCACCACACCATCGTGATTCCAAGGCTCGACCCCGGTATCGTAGAGAATGAAGTATCTTTACCCCACGGCCAATTGACAACAATTTGATCGGCAGTAGTGATAGGGCTGGCAAGCTGCTAAAAGAAGGAATAACTGAGGGATGTGAATGAAGCCCCGGATCATCTCGATTGCACACATTTAAACTGAATTCTCAGCAGTGTTTAGAAAAGTAACCTGAACGAGAAAAACATTGGTTAAAGAAATGAAGACGCGAAATCGGGAAGGCTGTGTGAATCAGAAAATACCCGCATTCAAAAAGAATTCAAAAGGCACATATATACCAAGATTAAAACTAGGAATATGATTGGCCCTGAGGAGATCTACTAGATGGCGATGAAATCGGAGCAGCCGCAGTGATAGCTGCGGTTGAAGGAGTGGGCATAAACTGTGAGGCAGCTACAAGGCGGCATAGGCTCGGAATGGTCCGCTCATTACGCATCAACAGAAGTCGTGAATTTTCGTACTCACGACGTGATACGAAGAGAAAGAGATCAAAGTCACTGGGAGGGGAGACAGGTTGTTGATGCTGCAGATGCGGTGGTGGGGGTGGTACATCGTGATGATGCGGAGCTGGTTGTTGAAGTGGTGAGACCGATTGTGGTTCCACAATGGAGAGATGGAACAGATAACGACGTACAGACAGAAGTGCTCGTCGAAGCGACTCTAGTGGTGTATACTTTTGTGAAGCTGATGGTAGAGATATTGAGGGCATCACTGAATTCCCCATTTCCGTCACAGATGGTCTTGAAGACGAGGAGCGACTACGGGAAGTTCGACCTCGGCGTGATTGGCGCGACGATGAAAATCTGGCATCCCCGCGTCTACCGAACCTCTCCGTGACGTTTGACGTGCTCCTCGGACCAGAACTATCGTCGCCAATCGCCCATGAACCCAAACCCACTAGACTAAGAGTTTCTGGATTCAGTAGATTCGCCATCAGCATCTAGCCAGAGTAAAGCAAAGTTCTATTTATTTAATATACCGAATCCGATATTGGTTCGAAGGTATACGCTCTCTGCAAATATTTAGGAGCCGAACCTGCACCATTCCCTGTAAAGCAGAACTCAATAGTTTCGGACAAATGGCTGAGTAAACATAAATAGATAAAAATCCTAACAACGAATCGAATCGCTTCACTCGCATTTTCGTGTACGCGTGGCTACAAGGCAAAAGGTCGTGGCACAGGTAGTCATTAGATGATGCAATAACCCACAGACAAAGAACGCAACTCGTCTTTGACGAACGCCACACGGTGATGAATTTTTCGCCCAAATTTAGTCTACCTCTCAAACCACGTCAAACTTGCAACTTCCAGTAAGTTCCACAAGCATCCATAAAACTTTATCTCCCTATGCGTTCTCTGAAGTTAACATGTTTTCACAAGCCTGAAACTTCTATTCCGTTACCGTAATTGTTAAGTCAAAATCACTTACTTTTCTGAGCGCGCCAGTAGTGTAATCATGCCAGAAGGCCTCCAGATGATGAAGTCGGTTAAATCGTAGGCTGCAAATATACTCACTGGGACAACGGGAGCGAAGAAGGTTTGAGGCTTGCAAGAACATATCCACCTGACGGGTGAAAGGATCAGGCCGATCCACGTGAATCAGGTTCTGCATGTAAAAGTGGAAAATCATTGAACATTCTTACCAACTAATCTGAAGCAAAATCTGACGAGAGCTCACCAAAGCCTCCCGCGAGGATCCAATATCGACTTTAACGCGAAGCCGAATACGACAGTAGTAGTGAATGCACGAATCGTTTGGCGAGGCCGTGATACCTACACCTCCGGTAAGGAGAATTCGGCGCTGGAAGAGGTCACCATTCTGAGGCACCGCAAGAGTGGGGTGATGCAAGGACAAGTGAGGGGCGGTTGGCTCCGAAGCCGGTCTAAATCCCTGAGGAATCCGCAAGGGGTAAGTGAAGGAAGACATGTGTAACCGTACCATGGAGACCAAATGGGGCATTGCAGCAAGAAGACGGGAGTGCGAGAGAGCACCAGGAGTGTGAAACATAGCGGTGGAATTGGGAGCAAGGGGTGGAGTGGTATTGGTGGTGGGGTTGGAAATAGCGTAAGAGGCGGAAGCAATGGGGGAGGTACTTGACTGATTTGCCGAACCAAAAGCATGGGAAAGGGTGAAGTGGAGCACAGCCAACATGCTAACCAGAGAGGCGTTGAGAATCGTCTGCATTGATGGCCCGGCTAGAGTGCAAGCCATTATGGCCGAGTGAACTTGGCAACAGCAGCTATTGACTAGGTCATGCATCAGGGAACCATCCAAGGGCGAAGAATCTGAAGGAACCGTTGATATCTCGCCTGGAGATGGGGGCAGAAGAGATATAGAGCTACGACGAGGTCGCTTCGCCACTGTCACACACTGTAAAGGCCCCTCAGAATATTTGCGTTTACTCAGTGACCTGTGTCAGTAAAAACAATTTAATGACCTGCTCATTGTAAATAATCATATGTATTGGTAAAAAGATAGAGTACAACGTGAACTCGATCAATTTACCAAGTAATCAAGTATATTCTAGGGGCGAAAGGAAGTAAAAAAATCCCCTCATCTAACAGGAAAAGCAGCAAAGATAGGAGTAGCTAAGCCTCAGTGAGCAAATTATCATCTTCACAATGCTTACACCCGTGGAATAAGACACACAAATTCCTAAGTACCAAGAACCAACAATAAATCACCTAGAATTTTAAACAACGCGAAAGCAGTTCGCATGAAAACGGTATGAATGGATTTAGTCAAAACTTATAGGCATTGATTAACTCAAAAGTTTCCCCAAGAATGAGAGGAAAATTCCAACTATTGGTCAACGCTTCCTTAAAGCTGCATGAATGCCATTGACAGTTAACAAAGAAGTACTAAACTATAGTTGATGTAAGAGAAACGTGCTGTCAGAAAGCCAATGGACATCCCTTATGACTAAAAGTTGGGTACCTCACAACGCATAGACAACCAAAGGTACCTGGTCAGCCTACGATCTGCAAGGGGTTGACACTGATGAACTTCATATGGCAGATCAGGATGAACCTCGTCCTCAGTAAGAGCTGTAGAGGCCCTCAGAAAGACATCAACCCTATCGAGTAATGCTAAATCGTAAAATATGAAACGCAAAAAATGGAATACATTTTTGTAGTTCTTCTATAGAGCAATTAGCATTGTTTGTGTTGTATAAAATCGTGTCGAAGTAGGGCAGGACATCCTGCCGATCAATATATTTGAGCATCTTTTGCATTGTTCGATGGTTAGTTTCATCGATTTGTCCACAGCGATAGAGGTATCGAAAACCCAACTCGGGAATATTAGTTGCTTGAGTAAGTTTACGATTCCAGTCCGATTGACGAGGCATGAGATCTCTGTACTTATGGAGAGCACGTTTAATATCTTTATCTGACAGTTTAGCCAATATCCACCTGTAAAGTTCTCCAACAGAAACCTGACATTTCCATGAGCGGGAATACCGACCACCACCGTCCATTTTCCAAAAGGGTTGAACGACACACGTCAATTTAACTGGCAACATAAACAAACAATTCCGGAAACTATTCAAAGCGCAATTTCGAAAAAATGATATATGTCCTTAACAAGCTTTTAATATGGAATCTTGCCTTTATGAAATTTCAGATGGAAATATAATCAAATCGCGTCGATTGTGCACTAGAGCATGACCTGTAACTGACTTTAGGTTTAATAAAACGAGTAATCAGCACTATCAGCAGAAATTGCTGACGAAGATACTTTAGCACCTCGAGACTTCCCACTGATTGGAAGAAAGCTGTAAGTGAGGCTGGAAACATTTATTCTGAAGAGAACGTAGTGGTTGGGCCTCAGCATGGCCCGACAGATAGCATCCGACTGAGGAGCCGTACCTGATCTCCTCGGCAGCTTCAACTGGATCTGGAGTTCCGTTGGGTTTGACAACCAGATTAGGATCCGCATAGACCCGTTGGCTATCATTTGCTTCTAGAAATAGATGGTGAAACTCTGGTTTAAAACGTATGTTACAGTGTATCGGGATGAGCCAATGTCCCATATGCGAGGAGAACCATGGTGTCATTTCCGACGCCTAAACACGGATTTTGTATAGGGAATTCCTACACAAAATTTTCAGATAGTTCACGGCAGTGTTGCTTCAGTTGTTTATAGCTTGTCTGTGGAACACGGGAATAAGGTGAAGCCAAATGCAGACGTCGACCTCAACCGTTTCGTTGTGAGGAATTCAGAGAGTCTCCGCCATCGATGCAAATATGTTTCTTCCATACCGTAGGTATATGCAACAAACGGTAGTGCTAGGACAGAGGTCACTGAAAAAATGTCGGGTTCGCTTTCCGCTGCCATCGGTGTAGCGCCCTGAGACTTCTGATAGGGTGGAAGAAGGCAGTGAGACTAGGTACATGTATTCCGAAGAGAACAGAGCAATTGGGCCTGAGTATGGCCCAAAGGCCAGCCTAGGAGGGTCAGACAAATCCTGAAGTGAACGCCAAACGCCAGACAGCCACGTAAGCAACGCATTACAGAGACCGCTCCTTTTAAACACGTAATTACAGAAACACCACTGCAACCTCCCAAGACTTCCGGTCGGGTAAAAAAGGCACTAAATAAAGCCGAATACACGTATTCCAAGGAGGACATAGCAACTAGGCTCGAGCATGACCTAAAGGCCGGACAGACTAAAGTAACCACCAAGTGTCAAGTGAACACGTAAACAATGTACTACGACCATTTCTGTCAGTCTATACCACGTACTGAACTTTTCGCCGAATTCGTGATTGCTACCCTATGACCCACTCCTCCGGTTTCTCCGATCTTAATGACCTGACTCTTCAACCCCTTCCCCTGATACACAACCTGCGTACGCGTACACTTCAACACCCCCCACTGAGGGCTCAAAATGCTTCACAAATAGCTACTATTCTACCCGTACCAATCCTATACAACTGCACTCACTACCACTTTTGCCAATCCACATCAATCACCATTTATAATCCTGCTACCGTCGTCCCTCATCTTATGTTTCACACACCGAACACCGCTCCCATTGGCCGGAAAACTTCGCTTGGCTACAGACGTATCCCTCATGTAGTCTCAACAAGTTGTCCGAATGTTATTACGTCCTTTTAGTGCATAAAATATCTTTACAGTTCTACACAAAATTGTCAGCACGAAACCTCGTGCTGCACTTCCGACACTAACGGCGCACATCGGGTACACAGCGCCTTATTAGCAGAGCAATAGCGACGGCAGCGCGGGCATTGTGTGGAGTCGTGCGCCACACGCAGGAGGCAAGTGAGGTGATGTGAATCAACCCCTGCCTCCAGCTCCGTTTCTTCCCCGTGAACTGCTTCACCTACGTTGTCCAGATTCAACTCGATGCAGTTGGTGCGTTCTGATGTGCTACCAAAGCGCACTGAAGCACAGCGTAAGATTCTACACAGAGCCGATGTGCTTTCCACATCTACTCTCCCATTGAGAAGCTACAGATGCAAAACAAAGTAACGGCAGGATGACATATTCACATGAATTAATAAAAGCTTAGTGTTAGATGATTGAGTATTGTAGCGGATCCCTAAATGGATGAAGGGAGGAGTGGAAACCACGTTTTGTTAACAACAATGCCGGCACCCCTTTTCTATTTCAATTATAACGTGTTTTAGCGCCGCCACTTTCGACAACTTTTGGATGACAACAGCGATTTACTCATATGCTTCGCGCCATATTACAAACTAAAAATTTACAGAAAAATGCAACATTGACACGAAGGTGTCAGTTACCTTCAGATCCTCAAAATCCTTGCTATCGGTTCTCTTCTCATCTAGAATAATGTGCAACCGAGCAAGAGGATTCGAAGTAGGCCCAGGCCAGAGCTTAGTTTCTTTACCATCAACCTCAGTGCGCTGCCTGGCAGCAATCGACTGCCTGAGGGCGCAGGCCCTAGCCACTGCTTCTGGTAAGTGAGCATAGTCGCGTGACCACTCCACGGCTGCTTGATGAAGTAGTTTCGATAGTTCAGGGGTCGTATCGAGTGGGGGACCGAGAGCGACATTCACCTCTTCCATGAGATCGGGCAAGATGGGGCTGAGGCAGTGACGAAGGGCTTCAGCTGTGAGAATAAGGATATGTTGGATGGCTCTACGATCAGCACTGTCCGATGCGTCGCAGTAAAGACTGTGGCGAGAGAGAGGCAGAAATAAGTGATCTCAGTGTAACCAAATTGAATCAAACACCTTGCTAATGGAACCGTTTAAAATGAGATAAGGTACGACTAAAATAAGGTAAGCAACACCGTGCACTGTTGCTCCGTCAGTTAAAAAAAAGAGGTCAAAGGTGAGGTGTCTGAGTAGGCGATTGGGAGAAAAATGAAAGACGAGACAGTCAGACCCACAAATAGAGTCCAGTTCATAATGAATGCCGGTTTAAAAAAGTGCCAAACATTAAGGCTCAGATGGAATATACGATGTCGTCAAAAGTTGTAAGAGTTAGAAATTCAGCTCATTCCCAACACAAAGCTTGACCTTCAATCACAGTGAAGAGAGTCACTTCGCATTCGAATAAACGAAGTGGGTGTAAACAAAGTAGGGCAAGGAAGCCAATACACTACTAGCCTGATGTGGAAAAGGGCTTGCAGTTGGATCCAATCAGGTAGCATCGGTTCGTAACGAAGTAATGCTAGCGCCCACATAGAACAGAAGGGAACGAAGGACAAACGCAAATGAAGACCCCACAAAACCCTTATTCACCATGCAGAAGAGACGGTACAGCCTTGATGTTGCAAATACATCATCTGATCTCTCTCCAACAAGATGAAGAGGCTATCAACAAGAAATTTCGGTTTGAAATGAAGAAAGAACCTCATCAAACGCCCACTAGAATGGTTCAAACAGAAAAGAGGATGCTCACATATCCTTCACGGCATTGAAGTACGTAGAAGAGATGCGGGAGACCAGCTGATCACAATCCGCAATGAGGCTTTCGTAGCGGTGCTGTGGGTAGTAGATCTCAAAACAGTTGACACAGAAGTTTCCGACAATACAGAGATACCACTTGTCGAGCAGAGAAAGCTGCTCTATTGGGACCAAGACTGATGAAGAATCCTTCAAAATTGGTGCCGTTACACGACCCTCTTTGGCCAAGAGGTCGTGCACGTTGCCCAGAATAAATCGAAATAAGTTGCGCAGCTGTGGACAAGGGAAGGAGCATCAATGACGGCAAGCCGTTGACAGTGAAGTAACTAGCATAAGAGGTCAAGTCTAACCTTCTTATAGGCGATAGTGTGAGCTTTGAAGGCATTAATGCTGACAGTAGAGCGCATGCCTAGCCCTGAAGCAGCAGTCCACCGCCGGAGGACATCGGTACACCCGTTAGTTGCACGAAGCACCTCTTGAGGTGAGAGAACATTACCCAGGGACTTTGACATCTTTCGCCCCTCTGAGTCTGTCGTAAAGCCGTGCACTACAAGACTCCTACCATCGAGAGGGACGGAAGAAGATAAGTAAAGTTGAGGAGTAGCGCGCTTTAGTACGCATTGAAAGTTGTAAGCACTTCACGATCCTCTACAAGGATCAAGCCATTGATGCAAACAGCAATAAAGAGTCCAGATTATGAAATTATGAATTAACGAATTAAGGGAAGTAACGACGCGGTGTTTGAGGGTATTTCTAGGGGAATTTAGGATTCACATTCCAATTTAATACGTGTTCAAGTAAAATGACTTCCAATTTACACACCGACGGTAAAGAAAAGGTTAATGAATATCAGAGAAATGACACATAAACGGTAGCAAAAGCCGCAGAATACAGCATATAATTCATCAATTAAACGACCTGACCTCCACGATAGTAAATTAACCTACTTGAAAGGCGCCATTTTGGTTAGTGCAACAGAGAGGAGAAGGGAAGAGGAGAACCACCCACGAAATTGATCCAAACCCTCTACGCAGACATCGGCTACACCTAATTATCGAAAGAGCTCTTTTCAACGATTGCCACAGTGATCTAGTAGGAAAGTGAAAGGGTAAAGTATTGCACTAACGATCTTTCGGTAATACAGCTAGCCACGAGAGTCCCGATTCGAACCACACATCGAAAATGTCCGTCCCTCGAATCAACTCGGTATCAGCGGCACAAGCAGTGAGGTTCCACTGGGAGGAAAGAGCCACAGCAGTCCAAATGAAATGATGTTTAAGCAAGCACTGACCAAGCACTAAATGAAGGAATTCGCGATCAACGACAAAGGACGCAAAAACATTCAAATAAAAGTAGGTTTTCATGACTTTTAAGGGGTGTTACAGAACCAAGGTGAGTTCAAGTAAGTGCAAGAAACACTTTTAAACCAAAATTTTGGAGTTATTCTGAAATCTATCCTGAAAATAAAGTGGCTCAGATTTATCGATGGAATCGATGAACTGAAGAAATCGATTTGTGGACACGATGCGAATTTTTCCACTCACTAGTGGTGTGCTAATCCAAAGCTGTCTGCCATGCCACAGCCTGTCGACCTCTTAAATGTGGAGACCGGCATTACGAAATGTCTTATTGAAACGTTTATAGTCTCAATCCCGATCTTCAGCGACCAAAATACCTGCGAGGGAGAAAGGGAACACACCTTTTCCAAACATCCAGGCGGAATGAGTTGGGAGTTTGGTATTGCCGAGTTCCACCAGAAGTCGCTGCCCTCCCTTGAAACACGTTCTGCCACAGCTTTGATGAAGGCTCTAAAAGGAGGCAAATTAACGGAACGGACATGACATGACCTAGCTGTGGATTCTTACCCATCAACAAGGGCTCGATTGTGGTGGGGCTTGTGGAAAAGGACAGGAATTGGTATGCCCCAGTTACGTTGACGTGAGATACACCAAAAGGGTCGCTTCTCGATAAAGCTCTGCATCAGTGACTTGCGTTCGGGAGGAAAGACATTCACGTCGGCATAGGCTGCCTGCAGATGGGTGGGAAAGACAAAAAAATGATTTCGATTTAATGCCATAGTGCATTAGCTTTTCGGCTTCCGATGGTTATGCCTCCACATTGATGACCTGGGACAATACGCACAATATCGAAAATAGCTATTTTCGAAATCCCATGCATTGCATTGGGTTCCAATGTGCATCTTAAATAGACGAGATTACACGCCTTGGCGGCATCACTAGAAATCCATAAAGAAACCTTCCGTGACTTCTATGAATTAACAAGTTACCCCCTTATGTAGGTGTCTCAGTAAGGAGTAAGGAAAGAATGGGAACGCCAGAGATGACAAAGTTTAGCTATTCAGCTAACCCATCCATTCAATTTAATTCAAGAAAACAACGCCCACCTTAGCAGGACCCTCCAGCTTGTCCGTGTTGATGAACCACTGCTCGGAAAGACGCGTGATGACCGGTTGCTTGGTGCGCCACTCATAGGGGTAGCTGTGTTGAATGGTGTCCAGAACAAGAACTCGGTCGCCCAGGAGATCTATCACTGTAAAATGAAGGCAGACATAGCTGCATGAGTGCGTCAGTTGGGAATAACGGACTAATTTGGAAAACTCAAGCGAGGAGCCAAAAAGCCCCTTTTTATTCCGGATAAACATTACACACATTGAGAGGACCAGATCAGAAAACCATTACAACACTTATCATCACAGAACTCGGATATCTTGACGCCCTTAATGAGGCACAAATTGCCATCATTTAAGCACGACAGAAACAACACTTAAAATTGTACTCATGAAATCTTATTATTCCAACCGATCCGATAGTGACACTGCCTGCTAAAGCCGGTTGCTGGAGAGATAACGCAAAAAAGTTTGCCAGATAAGAACAGTATTAAATTACAAGTGCATGCACCGATCTAGAGCCTAAAAATTACAACTCATTTATACAATAACACATTGAAAAACACGAGGATAATTTTTTAAAAAGAAAAATAAAACAGAAGCGCAACGGAAAACGCACCTGCCGAGTTGCCCTCGTCTTGCACTAGCATTCCGGCCAGATCGGTGCCAGCTTCTTGTGTGAATTTAGTTTCCTCATCCACCAGGGCTCTCTAGAGGATGCAAAAAAAACACGGAGATTGCCATATAATAGTCTAAAATAGTTAATCCCGTCAGGTAGAGGCGATGGATCGATAGCTCCAAAGCCAATCTGATTAATTCCTGAAAATGCAACCGGACAGATCCTTTTGAGTTCAAATAGAGGATTTCAGTTAATATCAAGGACGTAATTTACAGCGTCAGGATAACCATCCGCATTATCTCGAAGCGGCTGTCAGAAATGATTGAGGCAGAGGTGCAAAGACTGCGATGGATTGAGTCGACTGTATGTTGGTGATGCTACCTTTACCATTCAGGCCGCAGAGGCCTGGAGGTGGAACTCCATGTGATCTTTTTTCAAGTACGAGCTGCCAAGTTTAGACACTAACCTAATCAAATTGCCTCCATAAGGGTGTCGACCTTGACCCAATGTTGGTTGACACGATCCGTGAGGTAAAGAAGCAGAGCACCCCAGATAAAAGCGCTGAACTATGTCTTCACCATTCTAACTCCACGCTAATCAACCAAGAGATATTTTTCAACATCTCCTGAATACTGTTAGGTGAAGAGAGCTACCAATATAATGGTAATATTAACTTCCTACCTGAAAACGTGAACAATGATGCAGTAGGTACAAGTTCGGACAAAGTAATGGTCTAGTATTTTTCCAAAACAAGAAAACCACGACTGTATTTCAGCCGAATATTTATGCGCTTGATGAGTATTTGTAACAGCGACAGTTATACCTACAAGAGGGAGACCGTGGCGTCGAGCAAAATCGAAATCTTCCTTCCCGTGAGCCGGCGCGCAGTGTACAAAACCTGTACCCTTGTCATGCTCAAGGAAGTCGCCTGGAATGAGACGATAACGGTGGCACCGACGGTTGCCATGATGATTATAACCCCATCTCCTGCCAAGAGGAGGTTCGTAGGCGTAACTCTCGAAACACTCTAAGGAATGAGAGTTATAAGAGATGATCCAGCCCTACGCAGTTCAGTCACTGCACCGTTTAACGACCAAATGATTTAATAATAAATAACAAACCTACTAATATAAGATAATAATAAATATACTTCCCATTTGGTACGGCTTATTGCTGTTTCAGCTATAACTACTTCACCTTGAAATGCCTGATGTGCCCGAGGTAGTGAGAAGAAGAGGGCAGCCTTTAACGACACTGACAGTGTTGTCGTCGTGGCGCCGTGGAATCGGAAAAGCACATCATGACAGCGGTGAATATGTTGGCATTAGAAATCATCATTTCAAACAAAATGTAAAAAACGAATAACCACCGTGAGATTCTCAATTTAGGATTCATCTGCCGAGTTTACACTGTACTGTGGGCAACATCGACACAGGTAATTAATTTCCCCATGTCCCACCCTACAAATATTACAGAATTCTATTCCAAAAATGATGAAGCTTCATGAGATGAACAGCATTCTCAGTTTAAATACGGAGAGCTTTTCAACAGGTGATAAACAGGAACCGCATTTATGGCAGGATAGTTTTGAGTAGACTAATGCTCATTGCCATTGTGCAACAAGACCATCCATTCTCAAAAGCAGCAATACAGTGGTGAGCTGAAGTGAACTGATAAATGGAACCTAAAGCACTGATTTGAAAAGCTATTTAAGATGCCTTAGGGTAAGACGTCGCACATGTGCTCTCCAGTTCTCTTATTGCGAAGAAAAACAATTGCAGAACACTTAAAAACTCCAAAGAAAAGCTACACAGACGAAGTCACAGGATGGAAAAAATGTGACTCATCCTATAGAACCTAAATTAATGATATTGAACTTGAAGAGCACCCAAGATGTTGACTTTTACTCCAAAAAGAGGTCTTTGTGGATTATCCTTCGATACACAAAAGAATTAGTGGATTAAGACGAATATGTAGCCGAGATTACACAACGACGAAGAGAAGCATCCAAAGTTCAGATGAGGGCAGCAAGACGGTAGTTAAACCTGGTTAGAAAATGAGAAAATAGGTTTCGCAACCAAAAATTGGACGACGTACCACCGCGTAGAGATGTGATTAGTTCAAATCGTGTTGGACCACAACCGAGCAGTTTGCACAGCACGTTCACAAAGTGACTCGCCACAATTAGATTTCTCTCAGTCTCCTTGTCAAGAAGAACAGAATACCTTAAGAGGGAAAACGATCTAATTGTACGCAACTTACTCATCTGAGGGATGAAAGATTATCGCTTCATTGGCCACGATTGTCCACGGAGTGGTGGTCCAAACGACAACATTGGTGGGATACTTCCGATATTGAGCTGACAGGAGTAAGAAAATAGTTGGTCAGTTTTGCACTTACTTGGAATCCATGTGGGCTGAATCAATAACTCTGCAAGAAAGTATAGGGAAGGACTCTGGTGTTCAGGGTTATATTCAAGCTCAGAGTCGGAGATGGCAGATCTGAAGGGGCAAGTAAAGAGAAAAATTCACAAACCGAGTAGTTCTGGACCAATACACCGGTTTGTGTTCCCGCACAATGAAATCGCTGGCATAAAGATCATAGAATGCGCGCATTACGGTTGCTTGATAGCATGGATCCAGAGTGGAGTAAGGCCTATTCCAATCAGCGAGAATGTTTAGCTCTCTGAATGCGACCAGCTGATCAGTCATGCAACGAGTCGCACGCTCCAAAGCTAGAAGAAATGGAACAGTTGTAATAAACTTACAGGCCATCCTAACTGACATGGGGGATAGTGACAGATTGCTTCCCACAGCTGCCAATTCTATGGGTAGACCGTGACAGTCCCAACCAGGAATAAAGGAGACGGACTTCCCACATACTTTTTGACGCCTAACCACAAAATCCTTGAGAATCTAAAACGCATCGACGTAGAAGCTCTTCATACCTTATTCAGTGCGTGCCCAAAATGGATGGGACCGTTTGCATAAGGGGGACCATCGTGAAGAATGAAATCTGCATCCCTTACCGACACATTTCCAGTAGCTAAATCTTTAATACTGAAGCATTAACAACCAAACCTTGACAGTGTCGATTAGTTTCCTTCCCAAATTCGATTGGAAAAGGAAATATGGGAGTGTTGAGAGTGGCCTTGTAACCTACTAGACGGCAGTACACTATCTGCAGAGATCGATGTCTTTGGAGTACATGATGGAGGCTATTAAAATTAGTCGCCATCTACATGATCAAATAGATACCATTACCAGGACGCAAGTAGCGGATACATCCTTTAACGTATAACTTAAGCGGCTAGGACTAGATAAGGGCTAATTCAGCTTACTAAAAAAACACTGTACTGCGGATGAAAGGCTTGTGTTGAAAAACTATAGTGAGTTCAGAACAATAAGGATCGTGACTGTCAATAGCAGCGTAACTATCATACAATCCAATAGCATCGAGGCCTTAAAGGCAATACGCCGAAATCAATAAAACATGGACTACTTCGCGAGTTCAAAGGCGAGCGAGAAAAATGCAACCGTCAAAACACATTTTTATTTAAATATTAAAATAAATATTGCTAGGGTTAAAAATATTTCAAAAACATAAATAAAAAATTTAGGGATTATAGTTTTACTGAACCATTATGTCGACACTCTGTATTAGCGCCTTGAACTATCATCCCTGGTTCGTAGTTTGTATGTTGTTTTGACCGTTTATTAGCATTTACGAGGTGAGTCTCATGCTCCTAGCTAGAGGAAGATCGAGTTGTACTTTATTCTATTTTATTGTCGGTCGGCTGTCCTCCTTACTCTGGGTTTCTTGCAATTCATGCCCGTAGACTGCACAAGTGTTAACTTTTCTGCATGTTTCAGGTCTTTTTATTACACGGCGCTTTATGGAAGCATTACTTTCTTTATCGTTTGTAGGCCCTGTTTGTTCGTACCTCTAAGCTTCCTTGCTTCTATCAACACTGTGTCTCTTACCAATCATGGTTGTTTGGGTGATATTTCTAATCCCGCCAGCTTTTATTCTCGTAGTTGGGTCCTGATTGGCACATTTTTCTGTTGTTGTTTTTGACTCTTGCTCCATACAGGTAGAGTCTGCTTTCGCCATTCATAACGGTCCGTAACTGGTGCCCTTGGTCTTATTTGTTTAATCTACTCTAATTTGCAAGGTTTATAAGCGTTTACATTGGAAGGTGTGGACGATTTGCTTGGTCATTTGATTTGTGCGATTTGTGCAATTAAGAATCCATCGAATTTTTTTCCACTTGGCGATGTATCCACATGTTATTTCTAGTACTCTTGTGTGCTTGCCTTTTTTTTCAGAACCTTGCCTTATTAACTGCTTTTTACCATAACTAAGTTTGCATCCACAAGATGAAATCCTCAATTTGTTTCTGAGATTTCGCTATGCCATTATAAGTTTAGCTGTTGTTCAATCGAATGAGGGTGCTTCTTTGATCTCTGCTCTGCTTGGACACGATTCGCTCGTCGTTATTCGTCCCATAAAACGCTGTGATGTCGGCTGGAATGACTCTACCTCCTATGAATGAAAAATTTTCCAACACCGTAAGAATTTTGCACGTTCCTTTCCTTAGTTTAACTTTCCACATTTTTCCTACGCTCACGCTCTTGGTTTTCCTAATAAAATATATCCTATAAGTATGTTTGTATTCAACTCCAGCCGGAGCCGGAGACAGTGACGACAGTCACATCAAACTCTTCTCAATCACCCGTCGCCTTACCTGCTCCAAATGCGGACTCATCCGCCACCAGCAACACCGCCAGCGCCGCCACCACCAGCAACAGTCGTTATGCCAATGGTACAACTACGTCCTCAGGTCACTCGCGCTCCTCTGCCAGCCGCGCTGCCAGCGACTCCTTTGCCCCTCGATCCACTGGCGGTTCTGCTAACGCTAACATCCCACCTCAGATCTCCACTATCGGCACTGGTGACCAACCTCAAATCGGCAAGTACAAGTTCATTCGCACCATTGGGAAGGGCAATTTTGCCAAGGTGAAGCTGGCCTGCCACGTGATCACAGGCAAGGAGGTGGCCATTAAGATTATTGACAAGACCCAGCTCTCTCCCTCCAGCAGACAGAAGCTCTTTCGCGAAGTGCGGGTCATGAAGATGCTCGACCATCCAAATATTGTCAAACTCTTTGAGATTATCGCAAATGAGAAGGTTCTCTACCTCGTTATGGAGTATGCTAGCGGTGGTGAGTGCTCATTATCTATTATTTGTTCCGATATCATTTTTTCCCTTCCTTGTTGGTGTTAGCACTTTCTCTGGCTGGAAGGTGTCATTGTCATCTAATCCGCTCTTCATCCTTTTATTCTACCTGCGTATGCAACCCTGACTATTACAATATTCGCGTCTTAAAATGGGGCCATTGTACTGCGAGAAACTGTCTCGGTGGTGAGCATGTGCTGCTATTTGTGTTTATCTTCTAACAACTATTCTTGCGCTTGACCGCGATGCATAATGTCACTCTTCGCAACGCCTTCCATGTAGATCAATATGGACTGAGTCTGCCTTTTCAAGCAACTCGCCTCTATCACTACACATGGTACAACCAGGTAAACAATGCAACTCTTGGCTCTGTTCACTTGATTGGTCAACTTACTCACACACTGACATTGAGTTGTTTTGTAAACTCCATCCTCGCTCCCATCTAACTTCGCAGTTCTAGAAAACCCACTCACTTTTACTGTAGGAATCAGACTTATCACGTAACTCGAGACTCCTGCTCCATCCCATTTGTGTCCTTCTCTTATGAGGCTTCTGAATTGGTGTTAAGTGATCCTGTAAAATACCCTTATAATTCACCTCCCAGTATTTGAGTATTGTGCGCCTGTGTGTTCTCCCAGGTGGGTCATTTTAACTCTTTCTCATTCTCTAAATTAAACCATCTTACGTTTGACCCAAAACTTTACTAGCTGACATGGGTATGGGCCGCGACATATCTTTTGCCACTTGGAAACCTCAAAATGTCACTTGCAACTCTCGAGTCTTTTTTCGGTAACACCAGTTCCATTCGGGGGTTATCGTAAACTTGTACTTTAATAAGGTTTACGCTTTCCCTGTACACTTTTCTGCATTCTCTTGAGTTTACTTTAATTCCACTTTTCATTAGTTCATTGTAGTCGTCAGAACTAAACAATAGAAATTGTATCGTTAGCTTACGCTTTCTCATGTGTAAACGTTTCTTGAAAATGGTCGGAAACAGCCAAAATCCATATCTGTCCGTTCAACTTAAGCTGCCCATGAATAGTTTGCCTAATGATGTTGCTATTAGGAAATGTGATAGCACTGCTCCCCGAGATCAACTGAATGGTGCAATTCCTAGTGAACTTTGCTAGTTTCCGTTGTCCGTGACGAGGATCGCTACCTGCACTCTTCACGCTGGCAGTTCTTTGGCACTTTTATCAAAGTAAGACAAGTTTTATCGGGACGGTACTTAAAGGTGTAGATAGAGCAAGCAGTAGTTATTAGGTGTAGATAGTCACTGAAGCATTAATGAGGGACTTTACAGACTGACAAAACGCTCTTTTTCCAGGTGAAGTATTTGACTTCCTTGTGACCCACGGCAAAATGGCTGAACGAGAGGCCCGCGCCAAGTTTCGACAAATCGTTTCTGCGGTACAGTATTGCCATCAAAAGAAGGTCGTTCATCGCGATTTGAAGGCAGAGAACTTACTTCTCGACGCCCAGATGAATGTTAAGATAGCTGACTTCGGTTTCTCGAATGAGTTTAGCTCGGACAAGAAGTTAGACACCTTCTGTGGCAGTCCGCCCTACGCTGCACCTGAGCTTTTTGAGGTGAGCTGTCCACGTGTTCCCAGTGCCTTGAAATCGAGAGACTCAGGGATCTACTGTTTACCGCACGTGTATAGTGCGTGATGTGATGTGCTGTGTGCCGCGTGTGTTCTCTTGCACAATTTCACGGTTTTGATTGGCATGAAACATCTAATGACGTCGAGCGCGTGTGAACTAGTCAATCGCACTTTCATCAAACGCCAACCATTGGCAACAATAGCACTGCGTGCATTCATCTTTGCGAGTGTGCTAGGCCAAAGTGAAAGGCATTTAGGTCTGTTGGATTGCGAAAATTTGTGTGGATTGGAAGCGAAGAGGAGGAGGATTGGGTAGTGCGCTGATGTCAACTGTTTCCGGCGGGAGCAACTTTCAAAAACCACAATTTTGCGCGTAAAAGCCCATTATATCTTCTTTTTTACTGCTTAGACGCGGTCTTTCCCTTTAACACTATGCCATGCCGGGCTTTCTTTCGCTCATTTGAAAATGCCTCTGTTGATTACTTTATCCCTTGTTTGTGCACGTTTATAAATGCTTCGATTGGAATTCACACCAAATGGACTTATTTACTTGCTTTCATTATTTTCTGGTTGTTAGCCTCAATGCCGGGAATTGTCCGTGTTGGTTGCTAGAATTTCTCCGGGTGTTCTCATTTCTAGTTCGGACTCAACTGTACTATTGACGTTTTGGGGATTTGGAGCGCTCTTGAATCTTTGAACTAGTTTCAGGCCACAGTCTAGTTTCTACGATTCCACCTAGTTATTTACTCTTCCAGAGCACTTGTTTTATTCCCAAGGTTTCTCACATAGGCTTTTCATGCACCTCTGCTCACTACCCCATTGGATTGTGGTCTTCCACTTATTCTGCGGTCATCATACCTCCTTTTCTTATTGGTAAGAGTAACGATTTGAAAAACCGCCACTGAAATCCCTATTATTACCTTACCGCTTAGTCTAAGGAGCGTGTCGTTGTGCTCTCACTGTACTTTTCACGGGTGAAATAATGATCCATACATTACTGATTGCCTTCCTCTGGGGTGTTTAGGGCACAGATTGAACACGTTCCTATTTTTCACATTCCTGAGTCGCCATTATTAATTATGTGCCTGTCTGCACCTCCCATTGACCGTAACTGCACCCTTGACGTGGATTGTTATGCAATCTGCTGCGTTGGTTTAGGTTTGAAATTGTCACAATGCCGTCTCCTTACCCGATGCGTGTATTGTCCACTTTGTTGATGTTGCTTTTGTAGTTAAATAAACGTGGTCTGGTGGTTAATCACTTGGCGCGTGTTTTTATCACTCAACATCTGCATCTGTGGATTTTTTTATGTGGATAGGGGTTCAATTGTTGAAATTTTCTGACTTACAGATTCTTAAATAGAATGCTTTGTTCAACAAAGGTGTGGAATTCTTCTTCTCGAATATTGTTCAACTATTTGCCCGCCATATGGAAGGTATAGTAACAACCTTCGTATTTCCCTCAAACTAATCCGTTTAAGTGTTGTATATATTAGCGTTGCCTAAGTAGCATACTCTAATGATTGTACGGGATTTTGTAACACCTCTGGACCTCTGCAGTTGTGGAAAAGGGTTGGGAACCATGGACATGCGTATAAATGTACGATATCCATGGGTTAACCAAATCTGTTCTGCAATCAAGGCGTCTTTTTTTGCATTGATAACTTTCTGATGCTTTTTTTCATTGCTACATGGTGTGTTAAAAGCAATGTGATTTGATCTAACATTCCTCTAACACTTCAAATATGCATGCGTCAGCCTCTTGTGGGTCACGAAATGTTTAAGTTTTGACGCAAAGGCTGCAGAGGTTATTCGAGAGTCGGTACGTCGACGAGCTGAAGGATTTCTCCCTTAGGTCTGTTTTTGATTGAGTCTTCTTGTGGAAATACTAACCTTCACATGGATTGGTCTTTCTCCGCTTGCCCATATGTACTCGAGTCCACTTGGATTGCACCATAAAGTCCTATTAAGCCAATTTTTGAGTGCTTCAACTGCTGTTAATTAGATTGAATTGCCATGGTCTGTAGAATAGCACAAGAAACGACTAGCTTCAGGCCACAAGTGAAAAACACATCATGCTTTTGGAACTTGAGCTGAGTTTGTTTGTGCTTTCTTGGAGGGGTCGAACTCTTTATCTTTCCCTCAAATGCACCTTTTCGGACTTATGGCCTGTATTTGTCTCCGCCACCTCATTTTATTTAAATTTTTTTTCTCGTCCGAGTCTTGTAATCTGGGAAGTTTTTTGTTTCCATTGAATCAAGCAGTCTGTTTCTATGATCAATTTTGTCTTGAACAACTATTGAGAGACATAGTTCTGCTCTTTAATCCTTAAACTTTTCCCAAAACAGGGCCTAGATTACATAGAGCATCAGCATTTCTTCCTATTCTCAACTGCCGAATTTTTCTTTCATCACCATTTAGGGTCGGAAGTACGATGGTCCAGAGGTGGACGTATGGTCGTTGGGCGTAATCCTCTACACGTTGGTATCCGGAGCCCTGCCCTTTGACGGGCAGAACCTGCGAGAGCTACGCGAGCGCGTGCTCACTGGCAAGTACCGTGTGCCCTTTTACATGTCCACCGACTGCGAGGCTCTGCTGCGCAAGATGCTCCATCTCAACCCTGCCAAGCGGCACACCCTCGAGGCACGTTCCCAAAGTTTAGATACTTTTCTCACCCATATCGCTCATAGATACGCGCAAAGGTCCTAGGAGGGCAGTTGGTCATCCGAACTACTTACTTTTTGAAAACTCATGAAGTATAGTTGTCCTAGTGCTGTACGATATTGTCTCCTGGAGCGTCAGTAACTATAATCACGTCTTGGTGCCTTAAGTGTTTGAAAAGGTAAAGATTTTCTCTTTCTCTCATGTTTGGAAATGTGTAAATTAAGAAATTGATGTCTGAAATGATATATATGTTACTTTCCTAGTGAGTCAAAGCGGGAGCACCAAATAGTTATGCTCAATTCGAGTAGATTTTGACCTTTAGGTATTCATTTGTTCTTTCACCTTTGGAACAACCAGTTCACTTTTGAACAACCATTAAGCTTCCCTTCCGACTAACTTTCCTGTTCGGGTCTTAAGAAGGGAAGAAGTAGCTGCAGCTATATTTTTTGTGGAAACAGCACAAAACTTACCCACAAGACTGTAGAATTTTCTTGTGGACTACTGCTCTATCGGTTTATTTGAAAGGAAGTAACAGCACTCTAATTGTTGTTTGCAATTTTGCCACCTAAGTGCAGCTTCCGTGCCTTCTTTCCGCCCCAATTACTCTGACCCCGTTCCAACAACTTTGTGGCAGTGTATGAAAGATCTGCAATCCTGTTTCCGCTCGGATTAAAGGACTGTAGCGCTCTCCGAAAAAATTTTCTCCATTTTTCCTTTTTCTTAAAATAGCCACTTTTCTGTTAGATTTTTAAAATGTCACGATAAACAGTTCTCGAATTTGTGCCCTACATTTACTGATTCCAATGCCTAACCCACTTGCCATGCGTACGTTGCCTGTTAGGTGGCTGGACCAACGATTCTCGGCAAATGGGAGTTTAAAGTGCACCGATAGGTTGTCACATTTTCCATAAAAATAGGACTACGCCTTTTTCCATGCCTCTTTTAGAGAAAAGATAGTAGTTGCTTTATTTATTTACTCGTTTTAACTTTTGTGAGGTTTCTCGTTGGTTTTTGAATGGTTAACTTTCAATAAAGGTCAAACCATTTAAAGTTTAAACTCACTTCTTTGAAAGTCATTGCTCCTTCTTCCATATTCTGAATTCTGCCTCAATACTTGCTGTTCATCTCTTTCTGTGTGCTATGGATTGCACTAAATTGACTTTCATAGTAGCATTTGTGGCATTATCATTGAATTATGATTGAACTGAGTACGATTGCTTCTAGAAATGTATCTGTTTTTCTTTACCTGTTCTCTTTTGGCCACTAATTCCAACCATCTTATCATCTAAGGTACGGGCGTTTTCAACTTAAGTATCGGGTACATCCATAGAAGATTCGGTCCTAAAACCTCTTTGGCCTCTTCACTGATATATTTCATGTGTTTGGTAGTTCGCGCATCCGACTATTTTTGTAAAAAGTTGACTTTTATAGAGGGGTTGCTGATCATGCAATCCTTTATGCCACTGTGGGCTTTGGTGACCTATCGGCAATCCGAAAGGCGTTGATGCTTGTAGTACAGTTGCTAAAATTCTGAATCTTGTAGTCGCGCACGTACGATTTAAGTCCGCTTTTGTCAGTCTTAGCTAACTCTACTGCAGGCACGGATTTGAGAAAGCGGGTCCCAAACCATTGCTTCAATGTTTTTTTTCACTCAGTTTAGGTGTCGCAGTTCTTCCTCATCATTCCACTCGGCTTTCAATTCGTCCGTTAGTAGAAGTGCATTCAATAGTATTAAGCCACATTTTTGATCTAATTTAATTTGAATATCTGTTTTTACCTGATGAGATGGTCCAGTAATGAGCATGACTTAGAACTGTTCTGTTTTTAAATGCAAGCTCCGGGTGGTTTTTTATATTGAGCCATCTTCATTTATGTCCTTAGTGTCGATTTTGGTAAGCGAGTTAACTTTTTTAAGGCAGGCCCTTCTAGTTTCCCAAATGATTCCCATGTTCTCTGGACACGCACACAGTTCCCGTTCTGATGTTCACCTCAGTTTTTTTCGAAATATCCAGATACCTTGTTCATTTTTCGTTTCAAACGGACAGTGACTTCAGTGTTGTCCGAGATTTCGTCCTTACATGAAATGGAGGTAATTGAGTACTGTGACTTACATAAACGGGGCTAACAGTATGGATCCTGCAGGAATTACGAAGTCTCTGTGCTACTTATTCTGGATGAATTTGAATTTATGTTTGAGCTATGTGCTCAAGGTCAAAGGTGCATAAAATGGCATGAAGTTTCGGTTAAACTTTATGCTGGCATGATACAAGTGCTGGTTAAGTTTTGCTGTAGTTTGCTATGCATAAAGCGATACATAGGTCTGGTTGTTTGCGATTCAAAGGTGATGGTCTCAAAAATCATGTCCAAAACAAGGTGGTGAGTTTTGGCGGATGATTGGTTTATTTAAAGTAGAGCTAATGCAGTCGTTCTCATCGATACGAAGGTTGCGAGGCAAGGGGTCTTTTTTGACTATTTACTTTCGTATTCGGTTCTATTCTTTGGTAAGTTCGGCGAAAGTAAACAGGATATAAACAAATTGGTAAAAACGAAGCTCATATTACCGGCACCTCTGATAGTTTTTAGTTAGTCATGCGTGATCTTGTCAATTTCAAAATTATATTGCGGTCCACATCTACTATGGTGTTGGATACAGGTGGACTTATTTCACCGGTGATGCTACTTACGCTTTCCGTTTTTCTTGTGCCAAGTTTGATTTACTTATTTTGTTAAAAACGTCGCCTACCCTTTATATCACTTAGCCTCAGATCGAAAGGAAAGTGCATGCTTAAGTTTGATCTACAATTTTTGTGAGAATGGACGTTTATTCTTTTTGGATCGTGGCACCATACCGGTTTGACTTCACATGCTTGTTGGACGTGTTGTTCATCATCGCAAAACACTTAGTATTCTTCTGTTTGTTTTTGTAATCAGTGCCCTACATTCCAATCCCAGGAGGCACATTCATGGTTTTTTGGTAGTTGAAATCCCAAGTATTGGTGTCTGCGAGTATCCACAAGCATGGATGTGTTTCATCCTACGCTAATGGATTCTTTTTCGTGATATTGCAAGAATTCATTCAAATCACTCGGATTGCCGTCTTTATTTTTACAGACCACTAAGCCCAATAAAATTAGCTTTCATGCCGTATCTCCATTTTTCCACAATTTTTATCTTGACATTGCATGCTTGGTTAAAACAAAAGCGATTCTGTTAAACATTGCTATTGTTATCTTGGGTATGCACACATGAATGATTTTTTGAATTTTTAAAATCTCCAAATTAAACAATGAAATAAGGAACTTTTGCACGCACTTCTTCATGGGGTCCACCTTTTATTCCCACTCGCCATCGTCATCCCCATTTGCTGCACGCGGACACCCTAACCTCGTTGCCCAGAGACAAAGTAAGACAATTTGTGGTCATCACTAAGCTGTGATGGTTTTTTAGAACTGGTGATTTTACTGCCTTTTTGTCCTTGGAATGTCTGATATTTATGAGAGCCTGCGACTTCAAGTATCTGAGATGAGGATAATGAAGTCATATCACGAGCTATTTACCTTTGAATTTAAATGCATTTACAACTGGTATCTTTTTTCATTTCGGACTATTAATTTAATGCTCCGATGGAAGCTCTCACGATACCTTCATATGCTCCTCGAACTTTAGATCTAGTTTGGTCGTAAAGAACGGCAACTGATCCTGTTTTGACATTGTATCCAGACATAACCTTGCCTTATTGTTTAGTCTATGGGTAACCAGTTGGTAATCAAGGTTCGCAGCAATAGTTCACAAATTGCTTTGGGGTGCTAGTGAAAGGCGGTGCTATTTATGTGTACACCAATCGATCTTGGTCCAAAAGCATCCTATTTTTTTAGGTCGGAATGGCTGTGGTTTTGTACTGGGGATCACTGACTTGCCCATTTGCCAACAGCCCGATGAATCACCGCATCGTTATTTTTGCTTAGCACACGCCTGAATCCACGCCCACAAACGATTCGTAATCTTCCCTAATCCTCATTTCTCGTTTCAGTCTGTGATGAAAGACAAGTGGATAAACACAGGTTACGAGGACTCCCCCTTGACTCCCTATGTTGAGCCAAAGCCCGACCTCAATGATCAGGTGCGCATCGAGATCATGGTGAACATGGGATTCTCGCGTTCCGACATTATGAAATCACTGGAATCGGGGAGCTTTGATACCATTGCTGCTACTTATTTTCTCCTTGGTCATCCCACCCCGCCTAATCTGGAGTCGGACTCGGGACGTGGCTCTGATTTGTCTCTTCGGTTAGTGACTTCTTTTGCACCATCACTCTGTCTTTTACCCACCTTCCAGTATGCCGATTGATAATTCAATTCCAAAATGAAAGAGCAGTGAACCACACAGGAGTGCGGTAGGCGTCGGTGCCTCACAGCGCAAGTCTTATTTATAACGGTACAGTTTTTTGCCTCTGATCGCTTTCCCGTTCCCATCTACGTATCTGTGCAAACAAGCATTTTCGTAGTTGATTTGGCGCGAAGGCTTTCACTCCGTTCTATTGGAGATGTCTGAGAGGATAAGGGGAGAGTAAAGCTACTCATCTCCATACTCGCTTCCTATTTCATACATGCTTACTAACAGAAAGGCATCGGAAATGATGTAAAATTATGGTAACTACATTTTTGGTCGAAGCCTTGAGGGCGGTACTGATAATAGATATTATTCACGTTGAAATATCTCGCGTTTTAATTTAACATTCTCCGGCCCTGAGAATAAAGGCGTTCGCAAAATGCTCATGGGTTGCAATAAAGATAGCATTTTTGTGAGCAATATTTATTACCGGAAGCTGCAGCTCATCTTGCTTCTTGCCCATAGGCGCATATTAAAGCGTTTATGATTTTCTTTGCAACTAGAATTTTTAAGTGCCTGCCTCTTATGAAATCATTTTGTGCGGAAATGTGGACTTTCATAAATGGGTGAATGCTCTTATTTTCCACAACATGGTTTTAAAAGGCAGTTCTTCCGTTGTGCTGCCAGCGTTTGATCAAGTTCCATTAACAGAATTCAGCGATATGATTGCTCCCATGGAAGCATAAGTCTCCACTCTGCCTTTTTTATGATTGGTTTTAAACTTGCCAATGGCCTTTGTTTGTTTTTGGAACTTTTTACGCTTTGAAGAAGTACGGCTACGTCATTGTTTTCGACTAGCGCTATAACTTTGTAACGTCAGACAATTTGACGTGTGATGGATTTTTGCCAGAGTATGACTATGAAGGCATGCTTGCGTTCATGAAGTAGTTATTTGAGCTTTATCGTCTTTATGTAGGCATACTTCTTCTGGCACCTCTACTGTTTGTTTACTTTTTTACAGGATCCATGTATCAAAGTCGAAATTTTCCCGATCACAATTTAATCATCGCGTTAACAATTCTTGTAATTCTCCCTGTATGACCTTGATCTATTTGCCGCACTGTACAATCTTCAGCCGATGGATTTGACGTTGACTCAAAAAATGAACTCTTGGGCCTCTTTGTCAAGATCATTTCTCATAAGTTCAAGAATCGATACGTGATCATTTAGAGATTACTTTTTTTCAAGGCTGTATATGTGGTTGCATTCTTGGCCAGAATGTCCCAAAAGCTAGGAACGATGTGAAGAAGTGGACGAGGCTCTTTTCATTATTTGTGACGCTATCTACTGCTCCCTTTGCACGCGCTGTCTGAGAATTCGAGTTTTGATTGAGCTCCGTGTGATTCAACTTGACTTTATTGCCATGAATGGCGTGCTGCGAAGTGTGATGTTTATGGGAATAATTTAATCGCGCTGTGGTCATTTCGATGATGTTCTAAATGCAAACGAATGATTGTTGACTTTTCCACAAATGAAATGTCATTGCTTCCCTGCAGTTTCCAAATTCTAGTATGCGGTGCTACCAGTGATGAGGCACCATGAGGTCTGCAATAGTTGCCTTCAAACTTGGATTGTCTTCACTGAACCTATTTCACATTCCCGTAGGATGAAAAGTGTACTCTGAATAGGCATTCTTTTCGACCCTACCTAGATGAATGGACTCTGACGGAGTAATAAGCAGCGAAAATGTTGGTAAATGTAGATCGCATAATCAGAGTCTGTTTGATGAAAGGCTGGGCTACTGAAATGTGAACTTAATTAGAATGTCAAAAGTTAAAAAGAATTTCTTTTTCAGTTGTAGGCATTTGTAACTCGACCACAATTACCCCGATAGAGCGGAACTATAATCAGCCTGACCTCCATTCTGAGTGCTGCTCTTGACTTTTGCGTTTTTTACGCCTATCTGCAATCACCGTCAGGACGAAGCCATAAGTAAAGCAGAGATTTGGAGAAATTATGCAATCCCTCCAAGTTCCATAAGGCTGCACTTTTACGAAGTGATTAACAGTATTCTTTATCAAAAACTGAGGCCGTAGTGAGCAATCTTGTCTTGGCACCCAGTTTTATTTGTGATTCACACAGGCGTTGTCTTGCTATGGTGGTGCCAATTGTAGTTCCTGTCCTGGCAGTTTCACATTTCGTATTCGTAAAATCATTTATTTCTGCACAATATCGGAAGGTTTAATACGTTGTTGCTTTTATCTCTTCCCTGCGTCTATGTTAATTCCTTAATTATCGCCTGCTACACTTAGCTATGTTATCTCTATAGACGCCGGTACGTCGATGCTGATTCCATAAAACGCCATATTTGCAGCTCTTATTCTTTGACTTCATGCCTTAAATCGTAATGAAGTAGCAGTGCTGCTTTGAACATTTAAGTTAGTTTTTAAAACTGCGTTACTGGTTTTCATCCAATCTTTCATCAAAGTAATTCGTGCTTTTTTTGATGATTTAGCTATGGCTTTTGAATGTTGTGACTATTCTCCGCTTATATGTAGACCAACTGAAAACACCGATTACATTGCACTCGGGAGTCCATTTTGTTGAATACTGGCATCCAGTCATTGAACGGAGAAGTCTTATCTGGTGGGCTTTAGGTTACAAGTTTTCATCCTATTTCTACCAAAATGCCACGTCATAAACGGGCTGTCACCTGTTGACTGGAGCCTCGCATGCTCTCAGGAGAGATTTGAAGATGACTTTAAAGACCAAGTGGCTCTTGGTTTGCATTGCACGGAACAGATTTTCCTGTCCATTTTGTACGCTGCTGCTTTTTGTCACTACGGTTATCCACGATTCACTCAGTTCTGTGCGGCGTAGGCAGCTGAACAATGATGTTGCCTTGTCCATTTCTATGCTCTTACACAAACACTCAGACTGTCGCACTCAATAGCTGAAAAGAATGTACATTTGACTTTTCTTTCAGATTATTTTATTTTTAACGGTAAAGCCAGGGATATCACTGCTTAATATTTGCTCTTAGGCCGTTTGGGTAGTGTGAAGTCTGCTCTCTGTACTCGTAGGCGTTTGTATTTATCATTGCCATTGGTGTTAATAAATGATTCGAATGTACTTTCTGGAATAACAAGACCCTTGGTACTGTTTGCTTATTTACGATTTGGGTGGGTCTAATGTTGATGCTGAAGCCCCTACCAAGTAATCTGCTGGTCCGCGAGTACTTAGAAATCACTACGGTCATGCATGAATGTGACAAACGCGTTAATATTATCATTCTCGGCGAAACCCCGTTGCATCAACGGATCTCTAGTCTTTACTCCTTGCTTTCGGCCTGAAGGGAAGGAAGTTAACTAATCCGGTATTTAAATTATCAAGTCTTTATGAAATATAGTCAAAATTTTGTCGTGTTTTATATGTATCCGAGTCTCTTGCAGTCTTGTATCCTCTCCTTTGTTTCTGCAGACTTGTCATATGTTCATTGCCGGCACTGCAGCTTTATTTCGAGTAAATAACATTTTCGTCATGTGCTATCTGACGCAAATTGCCACTCCACTCATTTGTAGCTGTTGGTTCGTGGGTGTCTAACCATCCCTCACCATGGAGAAATGTGTAAATGCTTTCTGCATGGTAGCGACATTTCACTTTAGCTCCTCTTTCGACTACCGTATTGGTATTGAGTTATACTGTAAGTAAACACATTTACAGTTCCCTTCACTGAGGAAGAACTAGATTTTCGGTTTTGTCTCCATGTTTCGATTAGTCGCTTTTCCCTCTTGGGTGTCAACTTTGATGTGCTGTACACTGAATGGAGAGATCACTTGGACTTTATCTTTTGTTGTGATATATGATCCCCAAAACGGTAAAACGAACGGTTAGCACATTAGTATGGTGGCAAACTTTACCTTTCAATGTAAAACGTCGTTATTCTTTAATCCCTAATTGATGAGTTATGTGAAGAAATCAATGTAATCCCTTTAAATTTCACTTGAAACTTAGCCACTGTGCCTTGAAGTGTCAAAGGTTCCTTGTTTTGTCTAGAACTAGGATTGATCTCAGTTTAAACTCTCTTGTAAGTAATGCAAATTGGTGACACTCAACGTCTATCCCGTAGTGAACAGCCACCTCCTTCTCCAATTTTACAGCCAAAATACCCTCACGACACTGCCAGCAACCGCTGCTACAAATCGTCAGTTAGCGGTAGGGAGTTCGGGTGGGGCACACCACCATCATCACCATCACTCGCAATCCCAGTCGCAATCACAGTCGCCGAGTTCCAATCCTACTAGCACCGCCGCCACCTCATCAGCGAAGGCTGCAACTGCCAGGCCGGGTAATGGTCGTCATCAAGACAATGGTGAGAAAGAAAGGGATCGGCTGAGTGTTACAAAAACATTAGGTGTGTTTTCCATCAGTATTCTTGAAAATTAGTTCGTTTCCCTTTTCAAATGGGTTGTAACAGGAGTCTCTAAGCGAAAGCTAGTGCCATTGATGGTGATAGCAATTCAGGATGTCGAAAGTTTGCGCATTATTTTCTTTGACCACGAGGAAGGCGCTTGCTTTTAAGTGCATAAGCCTCTCACCCACATGGTTTAGTGTCTGATATTAAAGGTTAGTGCTTGTCCAGAACTGAATGTGACTGAATTTTGTTTTGTGGTCAAAATGCTTTTCTTTACCTCATTACCACTAAATTAGCTGTCTATTCAGATATAAAAATTGAATGCATTTTCGTTGGAAAACGTAAGAGTAAAGTAGGGACTAATGAGCACTTGCGTTTGTGATGATTTTTGTGACTCCCACAGTTTATCTCCCCATCAGCCCACCCTTTTGCTTTAATCATTAATATTTTTTACAGAGATGGTAATGATCGGGGAACCTACACGTTTCTACTGGACTGAAAGTGTTTCGTGCTCTTGATAATTGATAACTTCGAGCAACAGATCATATTAGGAGAAGGGGGTGAAGGTCAATTTGGAATCAAAGATTACGCTTTAAATTTTGAT